TAATATTAACTTTTAGATAGTGCGCAATTCAATCAAAGCTTCGTATGGAAATAGCATGAAAAAAATTTCGAAAATTTTAAAAATGTTTTTAGGTATAAATTAGCGACAAATGAATAAAAAGTAACCATTCGTGTTATTCATTGAAAATTCGACGTTCTGCAAAACAGGTTCTTTATAATTTGTTTTGTAGAACGCCAAATTTTGAATAAAACTCATTCATTTGTTGGCTAAGTTGTATCTAAAAAAACATTTTTGAAATTTTTGAAATTTTTTTCATGCTATTTCCATACAAAAATTTGATTTTTTGTTATAAATTTGGAAGCATTTGAGCCCTTGGGAGAAAAGAAATTCGAAAATGTTAAGAACCAATTTAATATATATACAGAGTGTCTCAGATATTGATGTTAACCCGAAATGGTGTGATTGTATTGACATTAACTGTTCTAAAAAATTATTTCACGTTGATTGGAAATTATGAGCTTTTAAGTGCAACTTACTGCTTTGGTAAAATTCTGACCATTTTTCGGTTATTGTGATTAAGTTTTTTTAATCTTGTTCATTTAAAATATGGAACCGTAACCGTGAATGACATTTTTAGAACCACAATCAAAAACATTGGATTGTGAGTAAAATGTACTAGCAAAATTTGTGTCAATTTTTAGGTTTTATTTTGGTCGAAATTTTTCAATAATAAAATTTTCAAGTATTTTACATCCTAATTGCTAACTTTTGATAAAATTTGCCAAGACACTTTAATACTTCTTTTAAAGGAGAGACTCTCAAAGTCGACCGATTTTGAACATTTTAAATTCATAGTTGAACAAAAAGAATTAACTTTTAAAAACTAAGGGCAATAGTGTTAACGTTTTTGATTGTGGTCCTAGAAATGGTATTCACGGTTACGGTTCCAAAGTATAAATGAACAAAATTAATAAAAATTAACCACAATAACCGAAAAATGGTCATAATTTCACCAAAGCTCTAGGTTGCACTTAAAAGCTCGTAACTTTCAAAGAACGTGAGATAATTTTTGCTTGTAATTTTCTTCAGAACAGTTAAGGTCAATACTATCATTACGTTTCGACTTGACGTCAAGGTCTGGGACCCCCTGTATATAGAGAAAGTGAGAGAGAGAAAAATATTTGATAAACATATAAAATAAATTATTAACAAAAATTACGATCATAACATCAACGAAAAAATTCGTTTTAATATAAAATATTTATTTGCCGGACGATTCGCAATGTGATTATATTCTGGAAAACATATAGAAATTTTTAAATACATTTATAAATGATATTTCAAATGAAATATTTAATATACGCCATTGCTATAAAATTAGTATTAGATAAAAGATGTTGCCTACTAATTTTTCAGGTCAACATGAAGGTTAACCAAAAATTATATGTTATTTGTTAAAAATCTTTAATTGAAATAGTTAATTAAAATATATTGAATATTAATTATATTATTTAACATTAAAAGTATATTGAATGAAATTGACCAAATCCTTATTGAGAACTTGCCAAATTACAAATGTGCTTTCGTGCAAATCACTGTTTATTACCGTTTATAATGCAAAGAGTAAAATGATTTTTAAGTAGAATAAAATATTAATGAAAAAAGCTTCTCAATATATGTTGATCAAGTAAAACATCTTTATTTGATCTTCTGGATCTATATCAAGTAAAACATCGAAAAAGCAAACATACCATATACCAAGTTACAGAAAAATTGAAAATGCATGTTAAGAGAAATATGCAATTGTCAGTGATTGTGAATTAATTTATGTGAAATAATAAATTTTTCCAATGTTTTTGAGCATATTTAAAATCTGTATTAAAAACTACATGTGTGTTTTTCAGAAAATTTTGCACATTAGAACGCAACGAAATCGTATAGAAAGACTGATAATGAGAATGCATGATCCATAATGAATAATGATTCTATTTTCGTCATTAGTAAAAATTACCATTTTTAAATAATTATGCTCTAACAAATAATAATTAGAATGAAATATCATTATTATAAAAAATATAGTATAATATGATTTTTATAAATGTAGACAATATTATAATTAGAACATATAAAACACCGACGATTTAGCTCCAAGATAGCTAAAATACTTGGCCTATACCTAGTATGAAATATAAGTAATGCAAAAACCAAATCAAAGAATTCTCGAAAAAGTAAATTTCATGAGAGAAACATTCTCCGAGGAAGGAATTATCCTATAGACAAAAAAGAAAATAGGCGACACTGTTAGATATACCCGTAGAATTGCAAAATAGTTGTAAGACGATATTATGTGGGCAAAAACTCACATCAACTATATGAAAAAGTTCATATCATCATGACAATACACTGAATGATCTGATGCTTCATTTACCGTATTCTCCAGATTTTTGGTTTCAAAAAAAGTTAGAACCATTCTATGTAATTTTGTCGAACTAAAAAACACGGCATGTTCTAGTATAAATAACAAATATAAAAAAATTGTAACCAAAAAACTGTATTTTCAATATGAATAAGTAAAGATTAATTGCATCTTATACAACCATATATAAGTACATTTTGTATAATTTTTTTAAGTCCTCACGTTCAAGCATGATACAGACGAAGTAGAAAATATCCCGATTATTATTTAATGTATTTGTTTTTTTGTTTTCAGATCAATTTGTACGCATTCACCAATTTCAATTTATAGGAGCTAAGACATGCAACTTGCCATTGTTCAAAGCTATATCTAACTCTACTGCATTCTTCAATTTTGTTGTTGCAACTCAAGAAATAATTTAACATGTCCTTGGGATCTTGATCTATCAAGATAGATAATAGAAATTTTACAACTAGATAGTATTTGTCATGTATACAAATAAGAAAGTAGATAGAAATGGTGAAGGTAAAACAGGACAATTATACATTATATTTGAAGATCAGACTCCCGTCAATGTATATTCCGTGATGCACTTTATATCAACAAACTTCTATAAACAAACATGCATATTTACAAATGATTTATATACATATATTTGAAATAGTTCAAATATTTTCATAATTGTGATAAATTCAATTGTTTTATAATAATATTTACTTAAATATTTCAAGTAACCACTTGTTATATCATTTACAAAACTTGTTTTGAAACTTGTGAGTCTAAATTGGAGTTTATAATCGAAGTTCAAAGTCGATTTCAAAATGTTCAAGCAGAAAACTTGGAACCTATAAGACCCAAAATAAAATTTAGCCGTTACAATTCCAAAAGTTAAAAAGTAAAAGTCGAAAAGTACAAAGTATCGGAAGTAAAGTCTCGAAAAAGACGAAGTAAAAAGTCTAAATTGTCGAAAGCAAATTCCATAATGTCCAAAGTAAATAAAGTCACACTAACATGTCATAATCAACTTATAGATAATAAGTAAATTTAAATAATAACAGACAAACTAAAATCATATTTTTCTGATTTGAGAAAGATCAGCTTTTGTGAATAGATTTAATGACAAAGACTGACTTTGCTCATATAATTTGGAATTATCTTATATTACACAAAAAGGCGTTGAAATAAATAAAACTCAACCAAAAATAAATATTATATGTCTATAAAATGCATAATAGTTCATATGTGCTATTGATTATAATACAATATTTTATTTATTTATTTATTTTGTATTTATTGCATTGATGTTTTTATTTTATTGCATTGATGTTTTTTATTCATAAAAGTTTTGGATGTTTTAATGGTACGAGAGCTGACAGCATCAGAAAAAATACATTAAAACTTATTGAAAAAACTAAAATCACAGGTCCAAAAAATCTTTAGAAAGTTATCATCAAAGCTTGGTGTTTGTATCCATACTCCACTTAAAATTGAAAGCAAAAAAATAAAACCAATTTCCTTTTCAATTAATTCAGCAATAGCAGAATTCCAAAAATATCATCACGCAGATTCCTCAAATAGAGTAGATTATTCAATACTAATTTTACTTCAATAATGTAGGATCACATAGATCAGCTAAATTGCTTATTCACAAGATGGCCAATACAGAAAAATAACTAATAATAAGAAATTCTAGGCCAATTGCCTTGAAGGTGACTGAAATTCATATGTCTAATGATACACCTTATTCCATGTCGCCAAAATATTAGAACCTAATTTTAAACAAAACATGGACTACAAATAATCAATATTTATTTTACTGCTGGGCTCCCAATTGGAAAGCTATGGGATTTCAACCAGAGGTCCCAGGTTTGGTACCGCATTGGGCATCCTGATGTCGAGCAGCAATATATTTCACTTGGAAGCAATATATTTCCGAGTGAAAATAGCAATTACGCAGTATTGATGAATCAATAAAAAATTATCAGTAAAACAGAAATTGCATGAATAAAATCATTAATAGAGAGGACAACTTTCTGGGTTGTCATCTATAGAAAACGATGTAGTTAGTGAGTCATCACGACATCTTACAGGACCCTTAAGCTCTGATCTTTGTTCAAATAACAAAAAAAGATATAAATCTGACATAGTAACAGTCTACCAATAGTTATAATAGTTCCAAACTCAAGACAAAATCTGAAGACTACCGTTGTATCCATTCTCCAAAACTGCAAGGTAAAGTGTATTAAAACCTGAAGATACCCACGCCAACTCCTGATTCTAAGTAGATCATCAAATCAAGTAAATGCTGGTTTGCAAAAAAAACTTTATAAATCTCAATTAACAAGGAATATATATAAGTATTATACATAATGAATTGATCAATTTACGTAGTAATTTTTAAAACAAATTTTTGCTGCAATTCAATATATTATTCTAGAAAATAATCATTAGTGACCACATAATGCTACAAAAAAGTAAATTGTTATCGTGCAACCCATTAGACAATTTCCAGTTACTGTGACAACGTATGCCAACTACTTGTTGAAGAGATGAACAATGAGACATTTTTTTTAAGATATATGTACTGAAGAAGAATACACTTACCAAGAAGACTCGTACTGAATTAAAACATCTCAGAAGCAATTTCCACAAGGAAAGATGATACTGTCGCATCAGGATTTGCAGTGATGGCAGCGCACAAAATTCGACCATTGGAGCTCTTAAGAAAAGAATAAAAGAGGAAGAGTTACACTAAGAAGACTAATTTAAAAGGAAAAAAAGAAGAAACCCTTTAAAAATCAGTGACGACCATTTTATAAAAGACTAAAAGTAGCCAAAAAAGAAGTCAGTTAGAACTGACGAAAATAAAGATCCTGAAATTGGAAAACTTTACGAAAGGTAAAAAGTAAAGATCGACCAGCGCATCAAATTAAGATGAGATTAACTCTAAACAACTCAAATATCGTATACTGTAAAGTATTTGGTTTTGCACGATTGTTTACACAAAAATCTTGCTGGCGCTTGTATTAATATTAGATCTAAAGATATATTTAATATATTAGGTTGTTTGGAAGGTAAGATTAACTTTGTTACTAAGCAATATTTTTCCACCATAACTACAATGGATGCCATTTTTTCATCCAACAAAGCAAGTAAAAAAAAGTATTGGCAAAGTTAAAAAAATTATAATAAGAAATATTTGATGAATGGTAATAACAAGACCAGACCATCAACTCAACTGGAGCTGGTCAAGACAATAAAAATAATACAAATCATTCGCGAGACCTTTAATAAAATTCGATTAATTTTAATTACTTAAAAAGTATGAAAAATTACAAATTACCTTTCAAACAACCTAACAAAACATTTTTACCTATAATAAAATGAATAGTAACTTATGTGACAATTAGGTTCTTGCACTTTTGTATATAAAAGATCATCTGACATGTTTATCACGGTATAATAGTAAAGATAGTATATTTACCCGATGTAATAATATTTAAAGTAGATATAGTAGTAGAGAATGTCAATACCTTTTGATTCTTGAATCGTTCTAAATTGACAAAAATAATTATGAAATATTAGCAAAATAACAAAAAAATTGCTTGGTTAGCGTTCATAGTATCAAAAAATGTCTGAATGACCAAAAAATCTTTTAATGGGATGTATCTATCAAGTATATTGACATTCTTTACTACTAAATTGATTAAAAACAACGAATATCTGTGTAATTCAATATAATTTTAAAAATTAGTAAAAAATGAATCATTCAAGCAGATTAAGTGCACTGAAAGCGTGAAAATAATATATTAGAAGTATGAAAAAAGTTGTGAACACTGCATAAAAATTCAGTTTAGATTAGTTTAAAAAAATACTTGTAGCTTCAAATATTTACTACTCCTTCACGAAAAACGTGTTTAAAGACAAAACAAGTGTAATCAGCTCTATGTTGACTAAAAGAAAAAATATAAATATTAGATAGGTGCAGTAAAAATATTATGGTTTTATCAAAAGATAAAAATAAAACAAAAGTACAGCACAGGCTCTGTTTTTGTATATGCGACGCAAAAATTGCCTTACTATGTAATAATTAAAATATGTCTTATTTGTTAAAAAATAGAAGATGCAAAAATATACGAATTAGAAAATAAATTTCATGCAAGAACCTAATTGGTAGAATCGTAGTGATATTATATTTCTTAAATTATTTATTATTAATTATTTCGTTATCATATATTGATTACAATTAAAAATATCTAATAAATTTGAAAAATCTACATGACCAGAAATATTTAAATTATTTTTAAAATTACTTTCATTACACTAAAAATATCACTATTTTAGTAAAACATGCTATACCATTACATAAAAAATTTACTTTATGAACAACATTGGTACTAACAACAATGATCATGATACATATTGATTTATCAATTTAAATTAAATAAACACAAATCACATTTCATTACCATTCATCATTATTTTACCAAAAAAGCTTATAAAAAGGTAATATCAATTCAAGTAGCAGACTAAGAAATACTTTGATGAATAAATTTAAGATATAAAAAACATCAATACAATAAATTTTAAAATTTATAAAAGTATATAAATTAATTAATTAAACAATCATTAAAATGTGTGCTACGATTTACTTAGAGCTATCGGCAAAGTCAATTTACTAAATGGTTCAACTCCAGGTGACTTGCAATGATGGTGAACTACTGCTCAGCACTTGATGACTCCAGCAAATTTCTTGGTCCCGCTGGAAACTTTTGATATGTTAGCGCCTTAAAAAATCTTGCAAATTCAAACATCACAAATAATAACGAACAACTCGAGTAAATCCAAATTGACGCTGAAATCCTATCCAGGTAGGATAAAACCTGATCTAAGATCAAACTGAACACTCGTTTCAATATACTTCAGCATATGCATTACGGGATTGATAGAATGGAAAAATAAGAAAGACATTCCAAGAATCGGATGAAATCGGATAACTTATTCATAACACAGACCTTTCAGAGACTATCAACTGGTGATCATTTGTTTCCTTTACACCAAGTTGACATATTCTCTGCTCAGAACAAACATAATAATTTGTCCTACGAGAAACCATGTAAACGAAAAAACGTACATTTTTGTCACAGTTAATTCGCATTCTTTCTGATCGATTGATCCTTGCTAAAAAAGCCACATTTATCGGCCGATTCTGCCACATAACAAACCAATGTTATTGCAAGGCTATGTTATGAAGAACTTTCCATACTAAATATTGACAAAAGACATGTGGTTGCTGTCCAGTCAGGCGTTTTCTTCAGGTCGTCGGATAGAAAATCTAACCGCACAAATGTCAAAAAACGATCTTAGATAACATGGTCTTTCTGACCCAGCTTCATAACATACAAGTGACGTTGCAGTTTATGTGTAAAACGCCTAAATGCGTAGCAAATGCATGACAGTATTTAGTATGATTCAGTAGCATAATGTATGGAAGTTGGAGCGTAGCATGACCTTGCCATAACATTGGTCTGTTGTGCAGCAGAATTGGCTTATTAATTTATATATAAACCTACGATAACTTGGTAGAAATTTGCATACAAAATATCCTTATATTTTTATATTTTTATCGTCCGTCAGTTTTAACTTTTGTCACAATGTATTTATGTCACTGTATTTATAAACTAATAGAGAAGGGTTACTTTATAGTCCACAATCCAAATTGTATTAAGAAAATTAAACTGATTTTCAAAAATTTGAAACGTTATTTCATTTCTCTATGTAAAATTTTCATAACTTGTATAAAAATTATGTACAATATTAGGAATTACAGAAAAAGTTCTTAAGGTCTTGATATAGAAAAATATACACTTATGTTGTGTATTTTTTTTATAAAAATGAACAGAAACAGAACTTAGAGAAAAGTACGTCAATTCAGCGCAGCAATATATGGTAAAATGTTTCTACAATATTAAACTTAGAACATTTTCTTGTATAATATAAGATATTATCATCTATATGAGCAATGTACGCTGTCTCATTATATACTAAAGTTTAATTAAAATTTTATTTGTACAAAATACTTTTTGCTGTATTCCAATAGTATTGGATAAATCAATACCATAATTTTGAAGCACAAAAATTAGAAAAGTTAAGAAATATCATAAAGGTAAAAAGAATTACAAATAGGTATTAATTCGATTCAATTTAGTGCAAGTATAAAGTTCTAAATTATTATAGACAACTATTATAATTTTACCGTTGTTGATTTCTTTTTTTTTATTTCTATACATACATATTTATATAACTATAGAAAATTATCCAATTACGAAAAATATGCGAAGTGTATTTTATATAAAAAAGCCAAATTTTTATAAAGTAATTCGTTGCATAACAGTTTTGCAATTAACAATTTGAAAAATAAGTAAAAAAAATCTCGTAAATGAATCTAAATGAAAAATTCAACTACTCAAACTTACAAAGGATACCAAAAGTGTAATCGTTTGTGATTTAGATGAAACTTCTCATGCTGATAAAGCTAATGATCCAAACGAACCCCTTAAAATATTAGAGTCCTATGTTCCCAATAATTTAAGAGGTTCGTTTTGTGAGAGAGGTTGACTATCAACTCTATCATCATGAGAAGTTACATAAGATCATAGACCATTAAACCTAAGATTCTCCTTATTAGTTGTAAATTTTCAAAAACTTAATATATCAGTGGTTTCCAGCTACAAATTGCAATAAAGGTTTCGGACAAAGTGAACAAGAAGTTTTAGAATTGACTAAAAATTTTGCGAATATTTTAGACAAATATATTATCTAAAAAAATCAATAAGCAGGAAAATCATTTTATATATGCCACCGATTTGTAAAGTGTTTATAAAAGTTAGAAACCGAGATATATATTAACAAAAATTCATTTAAATTATCTTTTGCTCACAATTAAATGTAATAAACGACATATAGTTGAATTTAATTTTATACACATTTAAATTAGAATCATAATAGCATTTATAATGCATAAATTTATATTGATGACAAAAACAATATGTAATAAAACAAATAATAAATGACAAAGTACTTCGGTCGACATATTAATGAACATAATTATATTTTAACAAAGAGTTGCAACTATTAACATTAGAACGATGTTATGCAACAACAAGTCAGCGAACAATATTCAGAAAATATCATTGTGATCATATAGAAATGAATTTGTTATGGAAATATTAGTGAATTATATAATTGTCTATTTATTTTATTGGCAGCGTAAGTCATACTGCAAATTACATTAGACAATGACATTATATGAATGCCATCGATTGTTTTCATAAGCTTATAAAAATTTAAAATTTATAAAATTTATTACACTTTATTGGCTTTATACTCCTTGATTTACATTTTCTTGGCTACTTACTGCATATTTTTCATCCCATGGTGAAGCAAGTAAGATGTAATGCATATTCATAAACCTTGTAGAAGGATACCACGAGAGTGTTGCCAGAGGTTGAATTATAATTTGTTTTCCACATTGTTCGTAGTATAAATAAATATTTTTACATGTACATTTTTGTACATGCCACGTATATAATTGCGTACGTAAAAAAGTACATGCCAATATAAATAAATTCGTGTATAAATACATACATACATAAGTATATATTTATATGAGCGCATGAGTTTATAATATGTATATAAGTACATACGTCAAGAAGTACATACTTACACAAGTACATAATTATATGAGCACATACGTATAAATACGAATATATACGAGTATATAAGTATATAGGTCCTTAATGACTTACACATATAGGTGCACACGTATGTAAGTACACATGTATATAAGTACATAAGTATGCATGCACATCCGCTTATGAGTACATGCGTCTGTAAGTACATATGTACATGCGACATCCGTATAAAATACGTATATAAGTATATAAGTATATAAGTATATAAGAATATAATAATATAAGTATATAAGAATATAAGAATATAAGTATATAAGGATATAAGATTATAAGTATTTTAGTATTTACACATATAAGTACATACGTATGTAAATACATACGAACAAAGGTGCATACGCCCTCGTATATATATATATATATATATATATATATATATATATCTTGTGTCTATGCGTTTGTCATTTAGTTTCTCTAAAACGACTTTACTAATCTTTATATAAAAAAGTATGAGATGAAGTTGATTTGAAAATGGTTTAAATAAAGTTTCTTTTAATTATAAGCGGTATCTTAATATTTCAAATTCAAATATTATTTACTTTTTATAGATTGGTAAAATAAAATGCGACTCCAAAAATATTTATTTTCAAGTTAGTTAGTAATTATATTACTAACTAATAGTTAATATTTATTTATCCAAAAGTTAGTTTGAAATATGTAAAGATTCCTCCCACAAATGTTAAGTGATACTTAGCGTCAAGTATCACAGATAAAAATTTTCTTTCACTTTTCTCATAAAATGGTCTAGACCATTTATGATTGAGTCTGTAGGAATTACGTTTGCACAAAACTGTCTGTTGGGTCAGGTAGTATATATATAAACCTACATACTTACATAAAATTGTACATATGTATGTATGAACTTACATGCTTGTATTCATGTACATATGTAAAATGCATGTAAGTATCTATAAATATGTATGTGTAAATGATGTACTCCTACATATGTATTTATATAAAAAACATATAACTTTTCCATTATTAACAAATCTAAGAATTCTGCGACAACGACATTTGCACTGAGGACACTAACACTGAACTATGTATGTATATGCTATGGACGACATCAAATAAACGATAACCATATTAAATAAAATATCAAAGGTGCAGGCATCCAACAAGCCTAGGCATAACGTACGTTTACCTGATTGAAGATTAAAAATATATAGTCCAAAGGAATAGAAGAAATTAAGTCTAAGAAGAACCACGTTCGTAAATAATGTCGGGCAATTAACTTCGGATCCAGGATGACCTGCTCCGCATTATCCTGCTGCATTATTCCTGGAATAGAAAATTACGAGAATTTTAGATCAAGTCTGCGAAAGTAATCATGCTAATATTATAAAACAACCGTATATATATACATACACAAAGATTATATGTACATACATACATACAAAAACGCATATATATATATATATATATATATATATATATATAAGGATTACATTTGTGTGGGGTAAAAAGGATTGGCAAATAAAAGTGTAACAAATAAAAAATAGCAAATAAAAATGAAAATTAAGTTAAAAAGCAATCTTATTCAAGATAAATTAAATAAATAATTATTTCAACTCTGCTGATAAATATTTCTGACAAAATATCAGATCAAGGTTATTAACTGTATTATTGTTGTAAAAAATGCACCATTAAAATTCATATTTTGCATTGGTTGAATAATGTTACTATTATTTTGTAAAATTTCTATAAAATCAAAATAGAACACTGGACCAGTTTGCCCCTGGACATCTCACTTTACCCCGCTTATAGGGGAAAAAGAACCAGATAACAAATTTCCGAAAAACAGCAAAAAACACATTTCTACAACGATGCATTAGCTGTGATTTTCACTAAACATAGTCAGATATTCGTTTGATATGCGTTATTTGTTGTGATATAGTTGGTTTGGTTTTCATAATATATTTGCTCAAAGTCAAATTGGACCTTTGTGCTCCGCCCTGCCCTATATATATAAACAGTTTCAACTTTTTTCCAATCCATATTCGACTAAAGTGCCGAAATGAATAGATTGGAAACAAAGTTAAAAGGGTGTTCGGAAAGTAATATAATTTTTTCACGACAAAGTATTTAATTGTATTTTTTGAATCCAACATTACACTTAAACCCTATAATTTTTTTATGATTTAAAAGCGTTTACAAGGTTTGTATGCGAAAATTCTAATCAATTACAGTTTTTGGAAATAAGCAGCATTTTCGACATATTTTACAGCTTTACCGCAGAAAAGGTAAAAATGATGTTCAAGCCAGAAAGCCGACAGTGCCAGAACTGGTATGTTAAATTTCGATCCAGAAATTTTGATGTGGAAGATGCACCACGTTCAGGAAAAAGAGTTGATGTTGATAAAAATGCGAGAACGTCATTATTTGATGCAAGTCAGCAATTGAGTTTAAATTTATCAAATTCAACAGTTCATGAAAACTTAAAACATTTGGGAATTTCCTCGAAGCTCAATGTATAGGTTTCCTGCACGTTTGGTGAGATTTTAAAAAATGTTTGTTTTTCAGCTCTTTCGGGATAATATAACGATTGATTCTGACGCTTACTGTCATCAGCTGCATAAACTACATGATGTATTTCAACAAAAAAAGGCTAGGACTAATTAACAGACAAGGTGCAGTATTGCATCAAGATGACGCGCAACCTCGCATAAGTTTGGCTAATTACCAAATGAGACACAATGTCACACCCGCCATACTATCTAGAGTTTGCATCATCGAATTATTATTTGTTCCGGTCACTAAAAAATATTTCAGATGGTGAAACCTTTACTTCAGATGAGGAGATCACCCCGGAATAATGCCACTAGCAGAAATAAAATATAATATAATTTTGTTAAATATTTGTTTATTATACAAAAATGGCAAATCTTATAAAAAAAACATTAAACTGTTATTGATTGAAACGCTAGATAATTAAAACTCAACTCAATAAGCAAGTCCTTCATTTTTTGTGAGTATTGTATATACACACATATGTCATGTGTGTATAAATTTTCATGATTTATGTAGTACTTTTCAATATTCAAATTTTATCATTTATTTTTTGTGTTATCATTATTTTTGACAAATATTGAACGTTGGTTATATATTATTTATAACTTTTAGATATTTGATCAACTGAGGAACAACAAGGACTCCAAGCGTCCAAGAAAAAGAATTCTTTATTAAAAATGGTTCTGAGCATTTTGTTTTTATTTTTAATAACTAGATGGATGCCCGTTAAAAATTTTTTGTTTATAACTATATATCTTTTAACATCTGAAATACTACACAGACGCATGTATATATATATATATATATATATATATATATATATATATATATTAACAAAGTCTAATAATCGGGCATAACATCAATAAAAAACATGAATTTCTTTCAAAAATTTATTTTAAATCCATACGTTTCGGCTATAATCCTAGCCTTCATTCAGTGGAAATATTAGTTGATCTTAGTGTTAAATTGGAAAATTTTAATAATCCATGGTATTAGGATATGGTAATGCACTACACTATGTATTATAAACATTAACTTGAAATTACACAATATTTTCACAAAATACTGATTTGAAAAAATCACAAATGGATAGTGTGATTCGTAGACTGGTTGAAGATGTAATAGAAGATTAGAAACAATTAGAAACAACAAACAGTTCAATAGTTTGAAACTTTCGTATACTAACAAATTTAATAAACTATTACAAAACAAAGCATTACATCTTCAACCAGTCTACGAATAACACACTATCCATTTGTGATTTTTTCAAATCAGTATTTTGTGAAAATATTGTGTAATTTCAAGTTAATGTTTATAATACATAGTGTAGTGCATTACCATATCCTAATACCATGGATTATTAAAATTTTCCAATTTAACACTAAGATCAACTAATTTTTCCACTGAATGAAGGCTAGGATTATAGCCGAAACGTATGGATTTAAAATAAATTTTTGAAAGAAATTCATGTTTTTTATTGATGTTATGCCCGATTATTAGACTTTGTTAATACATATGTCAACATCAAATTCAGAATCATACATATATATATATATATATATATATATATATATATATATATACGTATACATGCATATTATATTCCAATATATAAATATAAATTGCGTCTAAGTTTAAAGGTCACCTTAGTGATATGTTTACAATATTGAGATCAATTTATTAGTTTGCTGAACATTTATTAAACATAGGTGAAAGAGTCCACTATTAATAAGCACATGTAATTACTTTATATAATAAACATGACATCACGTATTTTTACACGATTTTGTAGCAAAAATAACTATTCTGATTATATAACCGTATGTAATCGTATATATATATATATATATATATATATATATATATATAAATATATATTTTGTATGATTCTGAATTTGATGTTGACATATGTATTAACAAAGTCTAATAATCGGGCATAACATCAATAAAAAACATGAATTTCTTTCAAAAATTTATTTTAAAAGATTTAGATTTTTAGAAAAATTTATTTTTTGAAAGAAATTCATGTTTTTTATTGATGTTATGCCCGATTATTAGACTTTGTTAATATATATATATATATATATATATATATATATATTATATATATATATATATATTAGGGTTTATACAAAAACCGACATTTCAGAAAACCGGTTTTCGGATTTTAATTTTACTAAAAACCGGTTTTAGCCGGTTTTCGAATTTTATATAGAATATAAATTTTTGCTCAAATATTCTGTAATTTATCTGTAACTTAGTGCGATTTAGAGCAGTATTTGACTGAATTTATTTATTGTTTAATTTTATGGATATTAAACAAAATGATTTCAATTTTGAATAGTTGAACTAGAAAATAATAGTTTATCTTGATTAAATAACTTTGAAAATAATTATTCGTTATTCATGCATCATTTTCGCATATAAGGATGAAAATATTTTTATGATAGTGAAAGGAAAGTTTTCGAATAAATAAAAATAACACTTTTTCAAATAAAAAACGTTCATTAAATTAAAAATAAATTAAAAAATATTTGATACATGTTACATACTTGTTAATATCAATTTCAGTTTTAAAAACAACTAAGCTAAACTCGGATATTTTCTATTTCGATTAATTTTAATTAAATAATTTTAAAAATTCTAATTATTTTCTTGTTTTATAAAATATGGTTTCAAAAAACTGAGAATGTCTATCGAATTGTCACTTACACTTTACTCACAAAATTTCCTGAAATAGAAAATACTCTCATACTTGCGATCGAATTAGGCTTAATTGTTTTTAAAGTCTGATTTAATAATTCTACGTTTTTTATTCTTTTATTTGAGGCTTCTAGGACTTAAAACTCTTTTTTTAAGTTTGAGTAGAGAAAGAAGAAGTCACACTGATGTAATTAATATATACATATATATATATATATATATATATATATATATATATATACATTAGACAAAAAATAACACAAAATTTTTCTGGGAAGCCTAGCTGATAAGATATCAAATGCTATTGAACCGAAATGATTTCAAGAATCAAAACGCCTTCATCTATCTTTTATATTTGGGTATATTTGTCATTTTCCATTTACACAGTGAAACCCGACATTTTCAATAAAAACCGGTTTTCGAATTCCATAATTTTTGTCAAAAAAACGGGTTTCAAAACCGGTTTTTAAAAACCGACAAACCCTAATATATATATATTATATATATATATATATATATACATATATATAAATAATATTATTTACGATTTTAATTATTCGAATTAAATTTGACATTAAAAGATTTCCTTTTTACACTTGTACTTAACAAGTTTTACCAAATCGTTTTTGAATTTTTGAAATCGCTTCAGATGGTTTTGAGAAAATTTCGACCAAAAGTCAAGAGTTGACTCACCTGCACAAACATACTTTTTTCAAAATTAGGGTTAAACGATTCAGAATCAAAAGCACACCGAGAAAACATATAATTAGACAATCGGATTTTCCGGCAAAAACAAATTTTCCTTCAGGAAGTTAAGGGGGGCGATACATGTAACAAGAAAAAAAAATCGATTTTTTTTTTCATAAATCGTTACAATAACATCTCAAAAATATGCCTGTAAATATTCAAAACAAAATTATCATTATTTATACAATAAAAACTCATTTAAGTGCCACGCCTCAACTCGATGCTTGAGTGCTATTGTACTCTTATCTGTTTCTGTGTCAAAACTTTAAACGCGTTTTTCTCAAAACGACATTTTTGAAATTTGCGGGCGGGATAACTCA